TCCAAACAGCCAAAAGAATTTACTGTTTAACTCATTATAAATTATGCTAAAATCTGATGATTAGTATTCTGACGATTGTTGGTAACTGTTGACAAATAACATTTTAATTGAATTTACAAAGTATGCATTTTTGATTACTTATTGTATCAATTGACAAATGAATTGTTTTAACGTTCATACTCATTTGAAATAATTAACATAAAATGAACTTTGAATTAAATTATAAACAAATATAAAAGTTCTTTCTGTGTCTGCCTGAACATACCTGTGTATCGGCATGTATTTTGTAATTATTTTTAGAATATATTGATCTGTGTGATTGATTTTTGTAGGGTTCGTCACTAGGTACACTTGAAGCGATTACGAGTTCACCATAGTCGATAAACGAGAACGAGACAACTGCCAGCCTCCAGATAGGCTACCTTGAATCCCAAGCTAAAGAGGCTTTGTAAGCGTAGAAAGTATATCCTACAAACACCCAGCCAGCACACAATACAATCAAGCACACAACTCTCGTTTATTTATACATCATAGAAACGTCGTTGGGACAGTCACAAAAATAGCACACTAAAATACACATCAGTCAATCACAGCCATGGATCTTCCTAGTGGGAAATGAGATCTCAAGGTCATCTGTCCAGCTCATGATCGCAAATGTGAAATCCAAATTAAGGCATTTATCAAGCGAGTTTTAGGGATCTAACATCCCCAACAATTTTCCCCTAACGACTGAACGCTTTAAATACGGTCAACATAGACAATGAGATCATATGTAATAATATTAACGTTGTTATTGAGTACTATAGAAGAAAATAATTTACTGGCAAACATACAAGTTGAAATCACAATATTTGATTGAATTGAACGTATATAGAATAGTTGTAAAATCCTAGATTCTAAAGAGGTTTATAATATTTTTTTGTGATTTGGGTACTTCATATTTCCGTGGCATTACATCATTCATTGAACTAGAAACAACTTTCAGTAATAATTTAAATCATGAAGTGATCAATGTTAAACCACCATTAGAAAACTGGAAGCACTGGACGGTAGTTTCCATCTGGTATGGAATACGAAGTGTTGAATTCGTTTATTTTTAGCACACCACAAAGTGGACCACAAGCATGTAGGGCAGGCACACCAGCGAGCGAATTGGTGAATGTACTAATGAATTAATAAGATTAAAGTGTTCATATATATACATAGGGAAATGTCTGAGTCATAGAGAAATTTAAGACTAATATCAAATCGAATAGGATGAGTATGTGCGTAGGTGTAAGCAATACTCAAATGGACACACACGGCTCTCAAACCTTCCAGAAGATCAAAGTCATGAGTGACTTATTCATACTCCCATTTTTCTGAATGTAAACTGACCTTAGAGCAGATCGTTCTTCTCGTACCTCAAGCCTTTTCTCTTGTGCTCAGGTTGCAGCGTATACTTAGTCCAGGGTTATTAATAGCTGATTGGATATCAGATATTGCGTTCATTTGACAGACTTACTAGATTCAAATTCATGAAGAAATGATAAGGTAAAACATGGAGGAGCTTGAAATAAGTGGAATACATTCAGCAAAAGCTGAACAGAAAGGAGAAGCTACTGAAATTATCCTGCTTTATTTCGTAATCATAAAGGGAAAAGTTCATAGATCCAGGATCAACGAATGCATCCTTCAAAGCGAAAGAGGGAGTTAAAATGAATATCATTCGTAACTAAACCCCAACACTTTCTTCGTCGTAAAGTTGTAGACTGGATTATGAGGACCTCCATATCTCATCTCATAGGAAGCATAGAATTCAGTGGATAGCTTGGACGCAACTAGCTGATCTGGACTTCGCAGATAACTCAGCTCTTAGATCTCACAGCAACAAATATAGCCAGTATGTCAGAAACACTAAAGCAGTATTTCTAAAACGAAATAGCATCTGAAACTGAAAACACTTTTCGACTAGCTTCAAGTTTCGAAGTTTCAATACAAATGTAAAAAACCCTTTTATTGTATACAGCTAAAACCTGGATAACTAGAAAAACTATTCAGATGAAACATTGTCTGCGCGAGATACTTCAGTGCTGTTTATCAGACACCATTAGCAACATGTTCTGTGGTAGAAAACAAAGCAGACTTCAGCTGAGAAGGAAATCAGGAAAAAGCGTTTGGTGTGGACACATATTATGGAAATAATCAGACTGCATCACGAAGCAAGCTCTAAGGCCAAAGGGGACATAAAAGATCAAAAGAACAGACTGCACCAATATTTGGCGGGTATTGTCAAGATTATGAACAGCGATTCGGGAGAGCTAGACAGGGTTGACCGGAAAATTTTGCTCTCCGGCCTGTGCTAAATTAAGAGTAACAGATATAAGTTAGAAATAATCCTTTTATATTGAAAACCGAATATATTCCTGACTAATCCTCAGAGTGCTATTGGCTGACCCTCTGCTTGGCATGGTCGTGTTTGCTTATATCCAGAACCTTACCTGCCTTCGGTTCCTTAGGCTCCCTCCTCTTCCTGATATTCATTAATGAACTTTTAGACAGAATTGGCCCGGCTGTATTGATCTATGCGGACGATGAAATATCTTAAAGACCACAAGAAGTCAGGAGGGGTAAAATAGCTTCAACAGGACCTTATATCTATTGAGGAATGGGCAGTGAAAAACTAGTTAAAACTAGGCCGGTCGTAATATCAAGTTATGAACATCCTGGCCCACGTGACGCAAACAACTTACAACCCAAATGGAGGTCTGCCCCGAATGTCTCCTCATAGAGTGATCTCGATCCGATAACTGAAGAAACCCTAAACAGCAGTTCGATCTACATAGGGGACACAGCCAAAGCTAACACAACTCTTCACTCTATGAGGAGACATCTTGGTGCAATCACTCCAGAATCATTCCCAACATTGTCTACGGCATACACATGCTCACCCCTCGAGATTCATAACGTCGTCGCATCAGCTCTTCTTAAAAGATACATAAGTATTTTGGATCGAGTGCAAAGAGGAGAAACTAACAAGGTGATGGGTTAAAGAATAAAACTTGTGGAGATAGGGTCCAGAAATTACAGTCATTCGCTTATAGAAATTCGTACGATATACTATTTCGTGGGATAACATATGTTAATCCCGGAACTCTGAGAATCAAATAAGAAGTCGATTCTAGAGGAAGAAGTATATTTGATATCAAAATAATATCGAGGCAAGAGGGCGCATAAACAGCTAAGGTCCATGTAGGAGACGCACGAAAATGAGAATGTGAATAACACGCTTGGCGCGCGAGAGATAGTCTTTAGTACAGGTAAACAAGGGGTGTACACTATAACAATTATTGTCAGAATTAAGTACATTAATTAATGTGTATATTTCAGCAATAGTGCATTCTTCGTAAAAATAAACCACTACAAATCATAGACAGGGATGAAGATCGGATCCAGAAAAGGGAATATATTTGCAGGTGAAAAATACCGAGATCATGCCAAGGGACGTAGGCGAAGCTACAGCGAGCAGGGTAACTAAAATAGATGCGACATTAATGAAAAGCACATACAGAGTATGAAGAAATAAAGAGTACAGTGAAACAGTCGCTGGTACAATTGGTCATTATAATAAATGTTTCTATTAAACGAATCGCGAACTCTCCATGTAAGTGGAGTCACTACGCATGTGCCAAAACTTGCTATTTATTATTACTGCCATCTCTTCAGGCCACTAACCTATCCATCTAGCTCATTATATATGTCTACTTTCCCTTGCTCACACTTCGGTTCTCTTGCATAATCTTGAATGCCAACTGATAAAATATATCACCCATTTACTCATATAGTTCTGAAATCTTATTCAAACTAGCGTTAGAATTGATTATTATCCTCCACTTTGAAACTAACTAATCTGCGGCCTGGTAACGTGATAACTGCTGGTTTTGAGAAACCCTAGTTCGTGTAAAAATTATTGGGTATTGGATGTTGGATATTGAAGGCGAGTTTTCAAGTGTCTACGTTACCGTTCGTTTCATCATAATTAATTTAGATCCCTAGTACTCAGCTAGTATATGTGTAGAGTTATCTTTCAGTTAATTATTTGACTCAGTAACTCGTATACATAAAAATATGGTGGTTTACTTCAAAGACACATGATTTTAAATCCGTATTATATGAAAGAATTATCTCTGATTTCATTAGCAATATCACACAAATTAAGACTTTTGTAAAAGCTTTGAGAAGTTTGATACAATAATTCGACTTGTGATTTGTACTGACCTTTAATATAAAACGCTAGGGTATAGTTATAGAGCACGTGGATACTACAAACGCATGTTCTCGACCCAGTTTGTTATAAAACTCAGTAAAAATAGGTTTAAACACTTGTTCTCTGCTTTTTACGAAGAGATTGACTATTCGATAGTCTATTCGGTTTGTCATATATGTGAATCGACCTATGAGCACCTTTAGCTTGCCCATCACAGTATAAGTATTTTTGCCTATTCGCGATCTTACATTGTCCAAAAGGAGAAACCTCACATATTCTTGACAGTCAGTTGTGCAATTATAATAACATATGAAAGAGGTAAAAATATTTTAAATGAATAGTATCTTCCCTCTCATTGAGACCCAGTTTACCTCAGTCACCTGAAGATTATCAAGCATAAAATAAGTAATAAAATATAAAAATTCGCACAGAAACTATCTGTTCCGCATTGCAAAGCAACATGACAAATAAGTCGAAACCGGTGTTCCTGAATTCGAACAGAACCAAGTGGACCTCAATACTCCACATGTGTTCATTATCGTTCATCTCATAGAATGTATATATGGCTTCAAAACGCATACAAATCAAATTCTTCGGTATTTTTCGCACTTTGAGGACTTTATTATGTCTATCGTTTTCACCTAGTTCTATTTTTTCCTAGTAATCCTGTTACTTTTAAACATCGATAAACATTTCTTAACTGGTTTAGTTCTTGGCCATACACTAATGATTGACAACAAATCGCAGTAAAGTAATGGATTCTATTCGAGTCATTCCTTTGGGTAAATTTGTCTCCATATGATTCACATTACTCAATTTGCTTGACAGGTGCTGGGCAGGATGTAGGCAGAAGTTGCATTCTTGTCACGCTCGGTGGTAAAAATATCATGTTTGATTGTGGAATGCACATGGGTTATAATGATGACGTAAGTTCACGTTGTTGTAGTCACCAGTCATTAAATCATTTCAGAGAAAATTCCCTGACTTCACTTACATTACTGATAAGGGGGGTCTGAATGAGTACTTGGATTGTGTAATTATTAGGTATGTTTATTTAGTTTGTATTTTCATATTCCTGTTGGCAGCCATTTCCATCTTGATCACTGTGGTGCTCTTCCTTATATGACCGAAGTAATAGGCTACGATGGTCCAATCTATATGACTCATCCTACCAAAGCAATTTGCCCAATACTTTTGGTAAGTACTTTCCTTATCTGATCCTTATATTTGTAGGAAGATTATCGTAAAATCAACGTCGAGCGGAGAGGAGATCAAAATTTTTTCACTTCTGATATGATATATCGGTGTATGACGAAAGTTAGGTGCGTATATATACATCAAACAGTCAAAGTAACTGCATCAATTTTTAATCTTGAGTTCTGTAAAAGGTAGATGATGAACTTGAAATACAGGCATTTTATGCTGGTCACGTTCTGGGAGCAGCAATGTTTCTTGTACGTGTAGGAACAAAATCGGTCCTGTATACTGTAGGTTACTTTTCAAAGATATCACTGAAGTTTCATAGGGGGATTATAACATGACACCCGACAGGCATCTTGGGGCAGCTTGGGTTTCTCGTTGCCGTCCAGATCTTCTCATTACTGAAAGCACTTACGCAACGACAATACGAGATTCAAAACGTACAAGAGAACGGGAATTTCTGGAAAAGATTCATGCTCGCGTTGAGGCCGGGGGAAAAGTAATCGCTTCATTATTTGCCACATCAATAGGTCTTAATTCCTGTCTTTGCCTTAGGTCGAGCTCAAGAACTTTGTATATTGCTAGAAACATATTGGGAAAGAATGAATATTTCCGTTCCAATATACTTCTCCATGGGAATGGCAGAAAAAGTAGTTTCTTGAAATTTTAGCAGGCTAATTCCCGTTCATTTAGGCTAATGAATATTACCAGGTGTCTATCTCATGGCCACCTCAAGACATCAACCCGACATTTGTAAAGCGAAATATGTTTGATTTAAACATATAAAGGTAGGTACATTTTACTTAGTTCCCCACCCAAATGCATTTTAAAAGTATTTAACGGTTTAACAGCATCACATCCTTCTACTAAACATCTACTCCAGACATGCACTCTTTGTAAACGTTAACCTGTTTCATTCAAAACCAGTTTTTCTGTTACTTTCACAAAAAGTCACTAGTTATCATACGGGACTCACATGTCTTTATTAGTTCCTTCAGATAATTGCTCAAGTTTAGTGACCCCATCTACTGAATACTGTATAGTTATTGTCTGAGCAAGAAGATTACCTTAGTCGTGAATATACATTTACTTGTCTATTCTTTCTGTTACTCTGAGATTTGTTAAGATGATTTCATCTTGCTGTGTCAGTATGTTGTGACAGCTAAGTTAATTACAAAACACTGACCGATTCATCCTTTCCCT